TTTTTCAATCATACTATGATTATTGAAAATTGTTTACATATATAATTTTTGATATAAATAAATATCCAAAAAGAAAAAATGCTAAAAGCATAAAAGTAATTTTAATATAAAAAGCTGAAACAATAAAAAAAATCATACCTCGATGGATAATTTTAATTTCGTTTTTCAAATGATTTAATGCTTTAAGAATCTGAAATAATATAATATAATTCAACATGCACAATCGTAAAATAATTTGAAAAATAAAAATACAGAAAGAGAGAGAGAGAGAGAAAAAAAGGGATGAATTACTAAAAATTATTCAATAGAAGTTTTATTTTCGTTTAATAGTTAGTAAGACTTTTGTTTAATTTACTCATCTATCATCTAATAAGAAGAAAAAATTTTTTCATATATCATATAAATAATCATATAAATAACATATGAAAACATTTCACCATACATCATCTTTGATTAAATTATAATGAGTATATGATTAATTAATTAATTGAAAAAATAGCTTGAATTTTTTGAATAATCAATTAAAATAGATACAATAACATACCGATACTGCGACATGTCCAAGTATACGTTCATCAAAAACCCCACGAGTATGATTATGAATAATCTTATACAAATTTTCCAGCGATATATCCATTAATTCCATACAAACTAAACAATCTCCCTGAAATAATTATCACATTTTAAAGATGAAGCCTTTGAGATTAAAAAAAAAAAAAAAAACGAGAAAAATATAAGCTAAACTAGTTCCGGTTTATTCCAATTCAAAATTTTTTAATGAATTTCCTCGTTTTGCATTATTTAAAGCTTAACATTCTCGCGACAATTAATAATGACTGAAAATTAACATTTATAATTCATAATACTAAATTAACCTCATGAAAGGTAAGACCGTAAAAAGTTACAACTTGAGGACAATCTGAGGCTTTTTTAATTGCATCAACTTCTTGTCTTAAACGTTTCATGGAACGATTAGCTTCACCATCATCATTTTTGCCCGAAATTATGCGAACTTTCTAAAATGAAAAAAAATATTGATAAAAGAAATTTTTACAATTTTAATCAAATTAGTTGAACAAACTTTACAAATTCAATTAACGTATTATTTGTTAATTAGAGAAGAATACTTCTCAAATTATTTAAATTAAAACTAACCTTTCGCTAACAGTAAAATTCTTACTTTAACTGCCATATAACGACCCGTTTCATTGTGTCGCATTTTATTTACACGACCGTAAGCACCTTCACCGATCGATCCAAGATCCGTCAAATCCTATAACACAATCTTGATAAGCACAGTCATCCAATACTGTTATCAGTTTTTGAAATTTATGAATGTTTAATTTTTTTTTTTTTGGAAAATTGAACCATGCAGCAGGCTAACGGTTATACACGTATATTGTAACAACTTGCAGAAAGTAATCAAGCTTATACATGACCAGAACTAAATAACCTGAAACCAGAATGGAGAAAAACACTTTCCGAAAATATTTATTTAGTCCGTGGTTGAGTTTTTCATGTAGAAAAATTCAGACTCATTTAATTTTTTTTTTTTTTTGTAGCAAAAAAAGAAGTAATACCTCATAACCGAAACAGTATTCCTTTGGCTCTTTTGGAAATCGTAATCTACCGGAAATGAACATTCGAATGAAACCCCTATAAAATCTGTTATTTAATTTTCTTTTATCAGTGCAACTAAAATTATCTGATTTGTTTCTAAAGAAAACTAACAACATTTTCAGATCAATCCGTTTAAATATTGAAAAATAGGTAAAAGATGCGTCTTACATGTGTGAAATTTTCTCGACATCCTTAGCTCCATCGGGAACCATTTGAGCATCACCCAATTCCATCTCTTCTGTTAATTCATCTTTTGTTGTACTCTTTCCCGAAAACATGTCTGAAAGCAAATTTTCAATAAATTATCGGCAATTACTACTAGAAGAAATGCTTGGTGACAATAAAGGAACTTATTTTAAGATCACTTTGGCTTATGATGAAATAGTTCAATGGGATATCGTTTAAGATTGTATAGTTTATATGATTAGTTTAAGATATTATATCGAGAAAAGTAGTCTGATTCAATATAGTACTGTTGAAAGGATTTATTTAGTTCAAGATAACATTATTATAAAAATTTAATACGAGCTGATATGGTTCAGTGGGTTTAATTCAAAATAACATAATTCGGTGAGTTTAATTCAATTAATTCAAGTTAAAAATGATTATTCGGGAGTTTACAGTTCAATGAAATTTTATTTTAAGACACGTGTAAAGGGATTAATTCAAAATTGTATAGTTTGTTGAGTTTAGTTCGCTGTAGCACAGTTCAGTGGAGTTCAATTTAAGATTGTATTGTTTAAAATGATTGGTTTGAGATTTATAGTTCAATAAAATTCGATTGACAATGACAAAGTGTCAAAGGATTTATTTCAAAATGACATAGTTCAATGGGGTCTGTTCAAAATAGCATATTTAGTGAGTTTATTTCAAATCAAGATTTTATTGTTTAAGATGCTTAGCGATGTTATAGTTTAATAAAATTAGTTCAACATGACAGTGTACGGGGCCTAGCTCAAGATGTGGTTCAACGGGTTTAGTTCAAAGTGATATAGTTCATTAGGTCCAGTTCAAAACGGCACAATTCAACGGCTTTAATCCATGATTGTACTGTTTAAAATGCTTATGTCAGAATGTAAAGAATTTTGTTTAAAGTTTAATGGATTTAGTTCAATTCAACTTGTTGTTATTTAAAATGCTTCATTCGAGATGTTATAGTTCAATAAAATCTAGTTCAACATAACATAATGTAAAAGAACTTAGTTCAATAAGTTTAGTTCAAAACGGCATAGTTGAATGGATTCAGTTCAAACTAACGTAGTTCGTATAGATTTAGTTCAATATTGCATAATTAATGGGTTTAGTTCGGAACTTCATGGTTCAAAAAACTTTGTTCGAACGGATTTAATTCAATAACTGTATAAATCAAAGAGCCAGATTTAAGATTTAAAATATAGTTAGACAGATTTAGTTTAAAATGGTATAATTCAATGAGTTTAAGCTTACGATTACATAATTCGAAGGTTTAATTTCAGGTAATATAGGTCAGTGAAATTTAATTCACAAAGAGCTGATCATCTAATTTACAAGGTTTAGTTGAATGGATTTGGTTCAAAATGACATGATTCTGGCTAAGCTCAAGATTGCACAGTTTAAAAGGGGCCTAGTTCGAAATGAATGGCACAGTTCAAAAGGTATATATAAAAAGCATAGGAGACAGAAAATTTTCATATTGATAAAGCTAAATAATGCGTACAGTGAATTTCCCGAGTTTAAAAATTTCGTATAACGTGAGGGTGGTAGTGGTGGTGATGGGAGGGAGAATGATCGGAGTTGATGATGATGAAATTTGGAAATATTCATGATAGAGATTAAAAGAATTGAAAATATCTTGCATATTTTAGAGGCATCATGTGAAATTAAGATTTTTTAGAGATAGCACAATATTAAAGATTGAAAATGTTTGCTAGAAAGGTACACGTATTAATATCGATATTGATTCATCATAGCCATAGGAAGAAATGAATGTATGGCATGCGGCTAAAAAAGAGAATAGGAAAGGAGAGAGAGAGAAAAGGAGGAGGAAGTATTTTAACGAGGAACTAAGAGAATGGGAAAGGAGCGAATGAAATTTACATTGTAACGATAATCGGAGAGCATTTAATGTTAATGAGGAATAGATGTATAGTTGAATGATAAATTAAAACTGTAATTAAATGTTTGGCATTTTTTTTTTTTAATTTTTATAAATAATATGGAAAAAAGTAAATGATATCGAAAGCAATTTACAATTATATCATTAATTATCTCTATTCGTATCAAATTATTTTATAGGTATGCAATAATCAGGAATGTATAAATAATTTGAAACGAATAGAGATAATTAATGATATGATTGTAAATTTCAAAGAAATTAAGAGATTTAAAATTTTAATTAGAAATTCATCATATTTATGCTCAATGACAGAAACATAAATTTTATAGGAATTTTTTTAGCAATCTTATTAAGATTATCTTAATCGGTATGTTTTGATTGCATAATTTGAATTATACTGAATTAATTAAATCTAATGAACTCATTTTGAGATAGCTATGTAAAACTGATCAAAGGAATTCCAATGTCAACAATTCAACTTTAGTTTTTTTTTTTTTTTTTAAAGGCAAAGTAAAATTTAAGCCTTCAATGGAAGCAATTATGGCAAGTACTTTCCAATTTAGCAATATTTCCAATGTACAGTTAAAATTTCCTAAACCAACAAGGTTTAGATTCATATAGGTTACTTCAAAAGAAACAGATTGAGCTCGTTTTTAAATTAGCATTAGCCGTTTTTTAAATCATAGCTTTTATTACCACTGTAAATACAATTACTGCCACCATTTTCGATCTCTTGCTAAATATATTTTCATGCATCTGTCTGATTTTTCATTTATTGCATTGAAAATAATTCGTCATGCTGGTGTTCGTATCAAACTTTCTCATCATTTCATCATCCATCAAAAGTGATGAAAAATGATAACGTATCAGCAACTGATAATCGTTACAGATTAGCACAGCTGGATGGGAATGTGAATTCTATTTTTTTAATCGATGGAAGAGGTGCTCACGGGTTGGTTATATTCGATTTCAGTTTGGCATCTCCCACAAATATTTGTTGTAAATCAATTGTATCAACAAATTTTTCAATTAACTTAAAAAATTTTGCTCTCACTGAGCTCAAATCCGCAAGAGAAGAAGATGGAAGGATAAGAAGTGGAAGATGAGAGGAATAGAGTTGGGAAGAACGAAATGATAAATAGTGAAATTGATGTTTGGCAGAGGAGAAGGATGATTTCAATGAGAATAAGTGAGAGAGGCAAACATTGAACAATAAACAGTTATTGATCAATCAAAACAACATTTTAACACTGGAAAATGTGATTCGAGTAGTATGTAAGCTAAGATGAAGAAGAAGAAGCTTCATCGTCGTGCTAAAGCTGGTCATCGATCTCATCAACCATACATCGGTAATGATACATCCAGTCAGGTATTTCGTTAAATTTTTTTTGTTTCGAATCTATTCATGTCAATTCTTCTTCCCGAATATTTTTAATTTCTATTCTGATTTCATAAATATTCCATTGATGAATCATGGAATAGATGGTCATTCTTCTGTGATTTATCAGTTAAATAGTTTTAAATTAGAAGTGAGAATTTCATCACGTATGATAATTCTAGAATGAATCGATGAAACATGATGATGCTGAAACGGCTGGGAAGAATGCTATTGAACTGAGTGGTAAAATAGCTACCGAAATTGATACATGTGAAGATGATGATAGCTCATTGAGAATTGACTTCTATCCATTCGCATATTCTCTTCATGATGAGCAGTTATTAAGTAGATGCTGGTATTGCCTTGCAAAGGTTGACACACTTAAGTAATAATTTCCTTTTTTTTTTATTGCATACTTTTTTTGGCTTATGGTTATAATCTATAGTTGTTTTTTTATTAATGAAAAACGTCCATCTATAAAGGATGATAATGAATTCTTTTAATTCAAAAAGTTTTACTTGGCTAGTAAGTACAGATTTTGTTGATCGTAGTATATTATGTTATGAAACCAATATATCGATTATAAATTTTAAGAAGGCTACATTATAGGCGCTGTCATGCATGTCGTAGAGGAATGTTTTGCGACCAGAAATGTCAAACATTAGGATGGAAGGATCATCGATCGGAGTGCAAAGCGTTCAAAACGCATGATGCGATGCCCAATATTGAAGTGCGTTTGTTGGGCAGGATTATTACTCGTTATAAGGTTTGTTGCATGTCAGGATTTATATTTCTACTTTATCCAAATTGAGGAATTGGGAGGAGAAGAAGGAATGATACCTGAATTTGTGAAATAAAATGTTTACGAGGAGTTAGCACTTCTGCGTACGTTATCAAATATAACTGATAGCATGTTTAGGCAATTAAACTGGGAAAAGACAAGGAGGACAATAATTTTTACAAAGATCGCACATCCAAACGGTCCATTATGGATATTTGGTCCCACACGGATCTCATTAAGCAGGATCCTTCTGCTATGAAAAAATTCAATGGTAAAAATTTATTGATGGAAATAGAGAGGAAAATAGTAGAATTCTTGAAAGTTAGGGATCCAATTCTTCCGATAGAAAACCTTTGTTTGGACAAACCTTGCTTTCATCTGTCAAATGCCAAATATTCGTATTTGTGTGAAGAAAAGTGGCAATGGGCATATGTCGGTCTTTTGTTTCTAATTTTAATCTTGTATTTTTCAACGAATTTTAGATAAATATGAGTGCAATCCAATGGTGGAGGGGATAAAAGTGGAGGTCTCACATGTATGTGCATAAAAATACCTAAAACTATCACGACTGGTTCAGAGTAATGAGCTTGATTTAAAGGTATTTATTCTGATCTTCTTGCTTTCTATGGTTCGAAAGCATTGGTTAATAAAGCTGAAGTATTTGAGCTTCATTGCCGAAACTATATCAATCGCCACGCGATCAGTGATTGTGGTTACATTGAGGTAATTTATCATGTACAAGAATGGTTGTAAATAGATTAGCTCATCAGTAGTCTTGTTCAGTCGTAAAGTACAGCAATCTGATGCCAGTGGCAGGATTTCTGATTAGGCAAGAGTGTGAACTTCTTGGAAAGGCTCGAAGTAAGTATGTTACTTTACACTGCAGTTCGTACCTGAATTATTCTTCCTGGATTTCTGTAATATATTCTTACGAAAAACTTGTAAAAATTGACATTTTTGTAAAAAATTTCTATTTAGTTTTCAAAAACTAATTCTTGGAAATGTTTCTTTCTATTAATGAAATTTTCAGGAAATCGGAAAAGGTTTATATTTGGACTTATGTGCTTATGATCATAGTTGTCGTCCAAATGCCATATATACTTGTAATGGTTTTGTTGCAACATTAAGGGGCCTTAATGCTAATGTTAACTTACGAAATCTTAGTTCAACTTATTACTCTTACATAGATTTAATCAAGTAAGCGTTTTTTTTTGTTTTCAAATTAGAATTTATTACTTTAAGGATAATTTTATTTTTTTCGGAGATTGGCGATTTTTTTACAGTATGACTTTAGTTCTTTTCAAATTTCAGTGTCTTTGAAATTTTCCATGTTGTTACTTGACTTTTTTAAATTGCTGTTGCAGTACGACGCAACAAAGACGTAAACTATTGAAGGACACGTGGTACTTTGAATGTCATTGCACACGTTGTGATGATCCAGATGATTCTCTTCTTTCATCCATTCTATGTCCAAATTGTTCGGTAAATTAATTTTTCATTGCGAATTCTTGTATTGTTATAACCAAATCGTTCAAAATACTTCCGTTTACTTCTTCAACTCTCAATGATATGAGCGTAATGATTTGTATTTTCAAGTGAGTTCTTTCAAAAGTGTGCCGTAGAAAATGAATTTTTGCATTTGAAATATATACTTTTCATATTTATCTATTATTAATATAAACTATCAATGCATTTGCAGTGGATAAATTTGCATCTTTTCACGCTTATGCAATTTAGTACATTTGCATTAAATTTCCATTCATCTTATGAATTGTTCTGAGTCGTGAATTCAGCTTGGACCGACATCATAAATCATATTATAGCTGAATGATATTTGCAGGAGAAACGGGAATATTTATGCATATTCGGTGATGTGTCTTACAAAGATCGGAATACTCAAATAATAACCTGTCCGAAATGCCATAACAAAGTATCTCCGCAGTATGTTGTAGAAGCGATAGCAGCTATGCGTTTTATCGATAAAGTTGTTGAAAACCATGAAGTTGAACAGGTTCACTTTTATTTTTTGGAAGAAATGATATCAATTTGATAATTGTGGTAGGGAATTTTATGAAAGCTGACATTAGAAATAGGTAAATATTGTTATATTCTAAAGTTTTTATGGATTGAATTTTGTATTATTATGCTAACACATGTGCTACAGTACGTTGTCAAGATTTTTTTATACTCATAGTGACTTGTAAGATTTTGTGTTCCCATAATGTTCAGTAAACACAGGTCAAGCAAATAAATCAGAGTTACAAACTTTATTGATTTATTTGATTCATGTCTCAATAGATCTTAGTTATAAACAGAGATCTGTAGTGTTTATTCAATCAAATATTTTCCATAGTTATTAATAAACTGTTATTTCTTGCTTTTAGATGTCGCGTGAGCAAAGCATTAGATTTCTGACCGATCTGAAGAAACGTTTTAGCCAGTTATTATCGAAAGTAAATGTATTTCTATGCAAACTCATCCAGGTACGTTAACTCTTTTTAACGTAGAAGTTCACAAGGTAACCTCCGTTCCTTCAGGAAATGATTATCAGTTGTTTAGTATGGCTTTAACAGAAGTTTTAAAAAAATGAAATATTAAACTGAATTAATATTGGCAATTAAATGGTCTGCTGATTCTTTTAATTTTGTCCTGCTATTTTTTCTATCTTTTTTAAAATGTTTCGAATCAATAATGCTGGTTCATCAATTTTAGCTCCTAATTTCCCTGATTGATGTATCGAACTATCAGCAATTATTGGATTTGCATTTGGAAGCGGAAGAATGCGTATGCTTTTGTTTCCCATGCAATCATCCTGCTGTTGGCATTCATTATCGAAGTATTGCTACTTTCTATCTGAAGTAAGGACTTGGAATTTAGCCCATTCATTTGTTTTCGGTGATTTTTTACAGTAAATAGAAATTTGGAAGAGAATTTCAGATGTAAACAGCCGCATAGGGCTTTGCTTTATTGTAAAAAAGCATGTGAAATCATAAGATTTACGTTGGGACCGAAGCATCCAATGACAATCGAGACGGATGCCGTATATAAGGATGCATTGCATGAAGTTCAAGAAGCGAAAAAATTGATCTTCGGTGAAAAGCTGGACAGCAACGTACTTTTCGGTTAGGCATTTGTAATTAATATCTTTACTATGATTATCGTCAATAGTTGAGATTGCTAAATTCAAAAAAGACAGTTCAAATATCTGACAAGTTCCATTTTGAAGAACGGTATATGGTATGGTGTTGTCTAATAAGCAAGAAATATATTGCCCTAAATGGTGTGAAAACACTTAAATGAAAATTCAGCGATCTAAGCTATAAATTCCAATGATCTACAGTAGAGAATAGAGTGGAATATTGGGAAAAAAGGAGATGAAAAAGAGAAGGATTCGGAGTTCTGCTATGTTTCTTTAAATGTTTTCATGAATTTCAGGAGTTGATGCTAATGTAAAAGGGAATTTTAGTGAACAGAACAACAGTGTTCAGTGAACGATAATGTTGTGTGAGACACTGCATGATGCGGAATATTGATGCATTAGAAAATGATTCTTCTATTTTTGATTACTACATGATTTGCTAACTTCAATTTTAATTTCATTACAAATATGTGAAATTCAAAACTAATGACCATCATCTTGCCCATATTTTCAAAAGTATGCTTGTTTTGTACACCTTCTAGTCATTTATCACTTATCTTGTTTTGGCGTTGTTTTAGTGAAGCTCAAAAAATATTTTGTTGCACTTCATCAATCAGTCATTATAAATTTTTATGACAGTTATTTATTGTATCCTTTCAATAGGATGTTTTATGAAGAATGATGTAGCATAAATTCTTAGAGTTATTTCATATTTCATTGCGTTATAGTTTGGATTCTAGGACCTTGGATTTTTTTAATCGTGTAAATTCGAGAAGCTAGTAAAATAGTCATTTTTTTTTTTGATTTGGCAGAATGACTTTACTGTGTTATTTGCATGGAATAAAATGTAACCCTCACTGAAAGCGATCAAACATCTCCTTTCAAACGTTTTCAAGTATTTCTAGAAAAATGCAAATTATATAAATACCATAATTTATTACTTTTGCATTCGTCCAGACTTTCTAATCACGTCTTGTATTATCTTTCAGATCAATTTATTGCTCATAATTTAATAATTTATCAGAATCAAAAGATTTGTATTCATCATGACATCGCCGTTTTTTTTTTTGAATAGATGTTTAGGATTGAAATATTTGACAACATTAACCATAGGGAACATTTCAGTTATATGAATTTTCCCATCTGAATTATCGAACTTCTGACTTATAGTCGAAGACGTGGTATGTTGAATGCTTTGCATATTTTTCAGGTATTCCCGTTCCATATCATTTTCATTTCTTTTATTTCATTACGAAAGTTTTAATTGCTCAGTTACCTCGACTAACATATGAGGGACAATGGTTGATGAAAGTAATGAAAATGATATTGAGTATTCGGATCTTCAGTAGATGTGATTTTATAAATTTGTTAAATATGATTTCATTTTGCTCCACAATTCATTTCAGTTTGAAATGCTACGAAGCATCTGAAAATTTTTAATGCTGAACTGACAATATTTATATGCTACTGATTAATATCTAAAAAAATAAAAGTAATACCATAGATTAATTTATCCCTAAAATCACAATTTGGGCACAAGGGATTCTGGTTTAGGCAAGATGAGAGCTAGAAATTGATGAAAGCGGTCAAAAATGAAGGCACTGCCATATTTGGATAACTATAAACAATCAGATTATTCCGGATCATCTATAACCTAATTAGGAATAAAACAAAAATATCTTGAACATTTTGATTTATGATTATAATAATAAATTAGTTTATCCAATTAACAAAAGTAAACGATCTTATGAGTAATAGTGTTGTCATATATCTAATGCTTACTAATTCTATTTGAATTTACAGTAGAAAAAAAAATCAAATTTTCGGGAAAATTTTTTAATTATTTATGATTCTAGCAGACCCGTGATTACATTAGTGAAAGAAAAGGGTAGCGGAATTAGAGAGATTATGTAAGTAAAAGTTTGCTCATCCTTATGCAATAATTTCAATTTCGATTCAAATAAATAAACTGTATCAGAGAGAAAGTGAAGTGATAAATATTTTCTTTAATCTGACAACTTCATAATTAGCAGATATATTAATTACTATCTAAAGACATTTAGCAACGATAACTTGCAATAAGTATAACTGGTAATTTTAAAAATGAAGAAAACAAGACACAAATATGCTACGGATGGTTTAGTGAGGAGAATGAATCGGGCGGTGGAAAATAAAAATAAACGATAAGATAAAAAAGGTTCAGGTAAGAAAATTTTTTTCCTTAAATTATTTCTGAAATAGCAAAGATTTAAAATGGGTATGCACACACACATACACATATACACACGCACATACACACATACGTATATACGAACACACACACGCAAATACACAGAAACACACGCATATACACAGATAGACCACATACACAGACACACACATGCACAGACACACACATACACAGACACACACATACACAGACACACACATACACAGACACACACATACACAGACACACACATACACAGACACACACATACACAGACACATACACACACACATACACAGACATACACATACAGAGACACACATGTACACACAGATATACGCACACGGACATATATACATACAAATATTCGGAAGGAATAATCCAAGCAAGCAACCAGATTAAAAATTATATTAAATTCATTTTATCATATAAAGCCAATTAATAAGTACCAGAAAAAAACATAAATTCATATAAAAAGAAAAAATCATAAATTCATATAAAAATTTGTTGTCTATTAAATATTCAAAAAAAGGAAGAAAAAAAGAATATATCATCGATAAAAGAAAAAAAGGTTTTCACGCATTCATTGATAATTAAATTTATTCTGTTAAAAGTCCACCATTTTGATTGCTTCCAAATAATTCGTAAAATTCAAATTTTTATTTGGATTTCTGCCGACAAAAACATGATAACTTTAATTTTTAATAAATAAAAATCACATGAAGCAAAGAAAGTACGTGTGAATAATACATTAGTAAAAATGAGCAAAAAAAAAACAGTTAGAGCAGAAATGAAATATGAAAAAACGAACGAAAATAAAGTAAAATAAAAAAGTTATTTTCTTCTGATGAAATGAAATTCACGACTTGTAGGGACACTGTAAACACGCTAAAAATCATTGATTTTTTGAAAAAAGGTAAATAAAACTATAATACCTTTTTATATCTTTCTTTTTTTTTAAAATTAATAGATTAAATATGAAAAAAAAAGAAATTTCACCGATCATAAGCAATAGATATGTGTAATTTTCTTCCTTCATTTTTAAAGTTAAAAAAATTGAATTAATGAAACTATTTTGAAAATAAAAGAAAAATACTGATTTGAATGAAAAAAAAAATTTTTTGAATTAAAAAAATCAACAATACAGCAATAATAGTTTTTCAAATCATTATAATCATGAATAAATGGATGGATCATTTCTACTACGATTATTAACAGATGATAGAAAAGGAATCATCAATTTGCGCACATATCGATGATGAAAACTGATGACTCCAAAACTTAAGCATTCAAAAAACAAAAATTCAAATTTTATATGTTATAATGTTATGTTGGACAAAAACACTCCTTTGAAGTATATTTGAAACAAAAAAAAGATAAATGAAAAAGATGAAAATGAATTGTTCGTTAAAGCGTAGTGGCAATCCTAACATTGGGGTATCGTCATACCAATAAAGATGATAGATCAAAATTCTAGATTATCGGAATTGAAAAAAAAATGCAATTTTACAGATGGACAATTGAATGGATGAAATCTTATCAAATTCTCTACAATGAACAGTTAATAAAAGATGACAGTGAAGAGACAAACGAAAGTTTAGGATTGTCCAGAAAAATTAAAGAAATCATTACAACCCATGAAGCTCATCATCTTGCAAGCACGTAAACTCCGCAATCACAATTTTGAAATCTCTAAAAACTGTTCAGTAATATTAAATTTATCATAACTTTATCATATCTTCGTAAGGTACAATTACTGGAAAGTAATTCAAATAAATTCACATTCGCCAAACTAAATGAGAAGGAAGGTTTATCAAAATTTTAAATTGAATGCAAAAATTTGCATTAACAAACATTTTAAGTAAAAAAATTTCAAATCAAAATAAGGTGAAGAACGGTCAACGGTCATCATAAATTCAAAGAGGTGAATTACCAAGGCACACTAATTAAAATCCTCAGGTGTGCTCATTTAAAGCTATATGATTGAATTATTTCTATTGTTGTTGTTGTTAAAATTTGGGAAAAATAGAACAGAACTATTTTAGGGATCAACTATCATCAGTTTCAGCTTAAAATCTTAAAAAAAAAATTAAGAGGAGATAATTGCACGATGCAACAAAAAATATAAATTGCAACCGGGATTTAAGGCAAATAAACTTGCGGACAATACACACACATAAACATACACGTACACATAAACATACACACACACATACGCACACATACGCACACATACACACACACAATACACACACACACACACACACACACACACACACACA